GCGCGTCCAAGAGGTGCCTTTCTACTTCACACTCACGCCCCAGCAAGCCACTGAAATAGCGTCCAATCGCGACATCCGCAACAGCTCTAAGGTGGAACACGCCATCCAGGTACAACTGCGATTCTGCCTGGTTGAGACCTCGTGCGACCAGGAGGATTGCTTTCCGCCTAACGTCAATGTCAAGGTGAACAACAAGCTGTGTCAGCTGCCAGTGAGTATCTACCGATAGTCCAGCCAGGACCGAATGACACCTCCTAATCCACAATCACCGACAGAATGTCATTCCTACAAACCGACCAAATGTGGAGCCCAAACGGCCGCCGCGCCCCGTTAACGTCACCTCTAATGTAAAGCTGTCGCCGACCGTCACCAACACCATTATGGTTCAGTGGTGTCCGGACTACACGCGCAGCTACTGCCTGGCCGTTTACCTGGTGAAAAAACTCACCTCCGCACAACTCTTGCAGCGAATGAAGACCAAGGGCGTGAAGCCGGCTGACTACACCCGCGGCCTGAGTATGTTTCCGCTTACCAAGTAGTGTATCCTTGCTTATAAATACTTTCTTCGTAGTCAAAGAAAAGCTGACGGAGGATGCCGACTGCGAAATAGCCACCACTATGCTTAAAGTGTCACTCAACTGCCCGCTGGGCAAGATGAAGATGCTGCTGCCGTGCCGAGCTTCAACTTGTTCGCACCTGCAGTGCTTCGACGCCAGTCTCTACCTGCAAATGAACGAGCGCAAACCAACCTGGAACTGTCCCGTCTGCGACAAGCCGGCCATTTACGACAACCTAGTCATAGATGGGTATGAGGATGCCAAATCGTGAATCACCTGAAAGTAATTGATTTCCCATCTTTTTCCACAGATACTTCCAGGAGGTGTTGGGCTCGTCGCTTTTAAAGAGCGATGACACCGAGATCCAGCTGCACCAGGATGGATCGTGGAGCACACCAGGATTGCGAAGCGAGGCGCAGATCCTAGATACACCCTCAAAGCCAGTGCAGAAGGTTGAGGTCATATCGGACGATATAGGTGAGCGGCCACAACGATGCCAGTTCTGTTTATTGATATTAATTATGCCTTTGTTGTTGTTATAGAGCTTATCTCGGACGATGCCAAACCAGTAAAGAGCGATTTGTCCCCAGCACCGGACGATCAGCCAACATCCACGTCAAACAGTGAAACTGTAAGTTGTGAGCTTACATATTTTATTAAATTCTGCTACAATATGATTGTCTTCCGTCGATGCAACAGGTTGATCTGACGTTAAGCGACTCTGACGACGACATGCCTCTGGCCAAGCGTCGTCCTCCCGCCAAGCAAGCCGTCGCCAGTTCCACGTCGAACGGCAGCGGTGGCGGCCAACGTGCCTACACGCCGGCACAGCAGCCCCAGCAATCCGGTACGTTGGATCCATTTTTGCAATAAGCCAGTAAATCAATTATAACTCTGTATAGCCAAGAATCCCTTATAAGTTTACAAAGTGCTGATTGTAGACAATAGGTTAAAGTAGACATAAGAATCCATACACATCCCATTCACATCCACACAGACTCACTCACCCTAATGCAACAAGCATTTTATTCATAGAGATGGAATCCTCAAGTTTCACTCCATGAGAGTTTCGTTTTCCGTTTTCATGTATATAACAATTTATCTCGCAAAGCAGCGTAGAAGTACTGCTTTTGGTGCATGATTTGATAATATTCAGATAAAGAATTCGGAATTTATATGCTTAACGCATAGGCTTAAATGCTATACTCATTCCTTGCGAAGGGAATTTCGAAATTTTTAAAGAAAACATGCTGCGGCTTCAATTTTCTCATTACAGATTGTTTCTCGAATTTACTTATATAGATCCATCTCTACTTTATAATTTTAGGTCCTTCATTCGATTTTAGTTGGAGTACCCAGTTCAAATTTATCCCATTATACACAAATTTGTAGCATTATATTTAAAATTTTTTCAAAACTATTAGTATGGCATTTTGTAGACATTTTGCGTTTAAAGTGCCTGCGCCAAAATCTGCTTTGACACAAAAGAGTTCTTAAACTTAATTGAATCCCCTAGCCACGGCTTTAGGCTAAGTAGACAAAGAAATCCTACTCCACTGCATAGGAAGGCTGGAAAAGGACTTGTGTTTTTGATTATTTTCCGCTTTCGTTGATTGTATTGTAGATGGTAATGTTTTTAAGAAACGTAAAACGACAGAGGTGCTTTATCGGCGTGTTGACTTGCAAATTTGGCTGCGCTCACGGTAGGTTTTCCCGTGGAACATTGGTGGGCTCGGGTGCCCAAGAAACCCATACTTTAATCTGTATATTTTTACAGAAAACCTAAGCCAGACAGCTCCAGGCGCCCAAATGTGGTATAAGCAGTTTTAAGCCTAATTCTCGGTTTTACAACCACCTGTTGTTGTTCTTTCTTCATTTGATTTGTATTTATTTTGTCACCGATTCTTAATTATTCCACGAAATGTAATTCTATTTTAAGTAATGTGCTAATAAATTATAGTAGATCGTTAGTGAAGGTTTTTTGGTTAGAGATCCTTTTTTTCGATTGCTATTGTGTTAACTTCGCGTTGATATGATGATAATTATTGAACTAATTAAAGTAACTTGTGCATTTCTTTGTCTTTTCTCTTTCTCTCTCTCTCTCTCTTTCTCTTCTTCCCCTGATCTTTTTGTGTGACCCGTCCATGCTGCCGCCGATGAAACTCGTAGAATCCCCAGAACAGCAGGCCCGTCGCCAATCGCCAGAGATGCGGCCAGTCTTAGACCAGCATCTGCAGCAGCTGCAGCAGCAACAGCACGAGCAGCCGGCGGCTGCAGCTGTTCATGCCTCTCTCCTGGAATCCCTGGCTGCTGCGGTCGCGGATCAAAAGCACTTCCAACTATTGGATCTGGCTGCGGTTGCGGCTGCTGCAGCTGCAACGGCATCCTCCGGCCAGGGTCAGAATGCCGGCCCTTAGGCAGGACCCGAATCCCACGCATCCCACCGCACATCTCACGGCCCGCACCTCACCCCCATGATCCTTGCTTTGGGTAGCCCAGTTTCTGTTTTCCGTTCCTCTCCCGGTGGCACAAGGCCAGATCTTACCTCAGAGGCTATTCTTCGGAGTTCCAATCGCAGTCACCTCATCATTCATCCGCTCTCAATCGCGACCCACCAACTGATGCTTGTAATTCTTGTGTTGCAGGACGCAGGCAGAACAGACATGCTTTATAGGAGCGGGTCCCCATGTCCCCAGTGGCAGGTGCTGCTTCCCCATCGGCCAGATTGTCGCTGCCCCTTTCAATTGGCTCACCCATCTAGGTTATGTCCTGTGTCTTTCGTTTCTGTGTCGTCTCGAGTAGTTGTGTTACGCTTAACCCGGGGTCCTCAGCAAAACACACTGACCACACCCCGCACACCAACTAAAATAATCCTAGATATTACAATTACACAAACTAGCACCAGCATTCATTAGTAATTACCATAGGAAACACAATTAATTTATTATTCTTTTGCAATCGAAGCGAGCTGCTGATTGATCACAGCGGAGAGCCCGGAGAAATTAATCGCCCTACGCATTACTAACTTAACAACTAAGCGTACACCTAAATCAGATGTTAATCTTAAGTTCTGCCAATGCAAGTTGGCCGTATTCCTATTCCTATGCACGAGGCGAGAGAGGAGACAGGCGAGGCGGCAGCCAGCCGCGACACCGACAATTAAGTTAGTTAAGTTATTTTAGTTGAACTACGGATACTGAATGGATTTGAGGCAGGCAGAGTGGTGTGGAGTGGAGGGTGCTGCCCGCATGTGCGTATTTATATTGTGTTGCAAGTCAGGGCGAATTTGCATTAAATTATCATGTCTAATGGCTACAAATGTATGCGTTTTTATTGATGAAAGTCGATTGAAAATGGAGGATTAGTTATGCATCAAGCTAGGCACTCGATTGCTAAGGACCTCCTGACCATGGTCGTTTATTTAAGCTCAAACCGTACCACCACGGATTTATATGTTAAGAAAATGATTTTAAATTTAACAATGCTTTGACTTTGATTTGATGCCAAACCCTTTAAATATCAGAATGAACAAATATGAAATCAATGTACAAGAAGATGTGTACTTTAACTATATTATTAAACAACTTTCAACCAAGGCCTGTTGTTTTATTTACCAACGGGGGTCAAGTTCTGTTAAGTTTATACCGATTTTTAATTTAACATCCCGTTTTTAATTGAGCCCACCCGAATCCTTTTTTTTTACTTGCAGAGGATATAGACGGAAACGTTGCGGCTAAGGTCAAAGAGGATTCCGTAATTGAACTTTTAGATTCGCCATAGCCCGCCGCCGCTCGATCTTACAAGTAAGGGCCTTCGATATCCGTAGGCGTCCCCAAAGAATTAGACTTGGCCTATTAAACGTATTTTATATTGCGCCACAATTCGTTGAATATCTTGTAGCAACCTAAGTATGTTACATTTCCGCGTAGTTCGTAAAAAGTATTCGTTAAGGTAAGATAAAAAGCGAATAAATAAATAGACCTAAGTACTGCACCAATAAAGCTGGATTTTTTAGTAGAGGCCTTTTGAATTTCCCGCTCATCAGCTGCTTTGGCATCGCCACAGGTTGGCATTCCCAAATGTACTTTTACTTTTGGCCATGGGCGTAGTCAATTAGTATAGAAACTTAAAACAACCATTTTTTGGGGTAGTTCGATTTTGTTTGGTTTTTGAAATGCTAAATTAAAAAAGAATGATTGATGACAATGTTTTAATTAAACTGCAAAAGTTATACAACTTTAAAGTACAAACAACATTTGAGAGAACGGCGCCAAAGTTTTCTTTTGAATTTGTGAATTCGTTTTTATTGCTTATATGCGCTAACTTTAAAAACTATGAATTTTTTTAACATTCAAAATATTTTGTTGAACACCAAACTCCAAATCAAAAAATTATTCACTAAATAATAAACGGAATATCCTAACATTCATTGGATATTTTTAAGAAACCAAGGTCAGGTTATCTACTTAAATCCCCCTTCTACCTTACACCCATGCGTTTGGCATCTTGTTCACCTTGATCGCCATTTGTTGTGTGATTTCTTTGGGAGAATGTCGAAGCCAACGTTGTATTACGCCCTATTTAGCCCTCCGGCCAGAGCTTGCATCCTGGTGGCCAAACTAATCGGCCTGGACCTGGACCTCAAGTAAATATGTAGCATTCACTAATTCAACGTGGCTAATGCATGCTCATTTCAAATCTTCAGACCCGTTGATTTTGCCAAGAAAGAGCACCTGAGTGAGGAGTTTATAAAGGTTCGTGAAATCTTTAAAATCGCAAATTTCTTTTTGTAAACTTCCCTTTTCGCAGCTAAACCCTCAGCACCAGATTCCGGTGTTCGTGGACAGCGATGGCGAGGTCTACGTAGACAGCCACGCAATCGTGTGCTTCTTGGTGGCCAAGTACGCCAAAAACGACCAGCTGTATTCGCAGGATCTCAAGAGGCGAGCCCACATCGACCACCGCATGCACTACGAGAATGGAGTGCTCTTCCAGGTGGTCAAGGACATTGTAGCGCGGAATATATACGGCGGAGAAGGGGAGTTCAACCCCCGATCTTTGACCCTCTGCCATAATGCCTACGCTGATCTGGAGCACTTCCTGCAGAAAGGCAGCTTCGTGGTAGGCAACGAACTGAGTGTGGCCGATGTGTCCATCCACACCACGCTGGTGACACTGGATTTGCTCATACCAGTGGAGCGGGAGAAGTACCCGCAGACAAAGGCCTGGATGGAACGCATGGAGAAACTGTTGCCGGACAACGAGGAGATAAATCTCAAGGGTGCTCGGGCCCTGCAGACCCGCATCCTGAATTGCATGGCCGAAAACAAAGCCAAGGATCAGTAGATTGTCCCTTAATCCTGTTTTCTTATTCTCTTTTTTGGGTATTTTAATTTCAAGATTTACCTTTTACTTTCTAGAAAATCTTCGAATTTTACTGATATACCAATTTTTAAATAAAATATGTAAAACTGTTCAACAAAATGGTATTATCTGCAGGGTTAATGCTCGTAATAACAGACTTTTATAATTTTGTGAAAGCAAAACCTCTTGTGTCAAATATACGAACTCGAGTTTATTTGTATTTTATTGGTAATTTGTTAGGCTAATTGGCTTATAATCATTCTACTCTAGATTCTCGTGTCTTTTGATTTGGAAGTCCAGTGTACAATATGTATATGTAGTTTGCGAAAGTTCCGATTCATGCAAAATGCTAAAACCCTTCACTAAACAGTTATTTACACAAACAAGCGTTTTAATTTGATCCTTTGCTAAACGGGCCACTGAAGAAAACTAACTGACTACGGTAGACATACAATGTTGGTTATTTAAGGGTTACTTTACTGTCATCGGTATTCTTTCCTTGATTCTGCCTAACTGTCCTATCTATTTACAACACAATGTATTAATCACACTTATTTTGGTATCATATTTGAAGCGGGTTGTGTCCAGTCCCTATCCCCCTAGTCGAACGTTGTCCAGTTGTTCATGCCCTTTCCGGTGGTGAGCTGCTGCGGCTTCTCCGTCCCGTTGGCATTCAAGGTGAACTGGTCCAGTCCGTACTTGCGAAGCAGCTCGAAGTCGTCATCGGGCTTGGCGGCAATGGTATTGCGCTGGTTGTGGGGCGGTGGGTGCATCGGAGGCGTCCGTCCCGTCACCGCTGCCACCGTGGCCATGTGCTTGGGGGCAAAGTACGGGTACAGCGGATTGCTGACGCTGCTGGCCACCACACTGCTGTTGACGCCAGCGGGCAGTGTGCTGGATTTCTTGCCGAACGCCTTGCTCAGCGGCGGCAGCGGCCGGGCATTCTGATTCAGCGGATCGAAGTCCTCCAGGTCGAAGCTGGTGTTATTGCTATCGTCCAGCGATATCAGATCGTTCATGCTGTCTTCCAGGGGCTGGTGCTGCTGCGGGTTGGGGAGGCACAGAGGTACGGGTTGTTAGAAAGCTTTGGGCGTGAGGTTCTTGGATTCTACGGTGCCTATTGCAACATACATTCAACTCGAATTACTTCATAGCGTTTACAAGCATCTACATACGGTTGAAAACTACAATGGGTGCAGTAGATGTAGATTAATGACTAAACAATGAAATGATAGAATGTAAATGAACAAAAATATCAGGATAAAATTAAAGTTTAAACATTCTTTAAGTCACCGGAAAGATATTATATCGGACTTGCCCATATATTTTAAAAATCCTGTTAGTGAATAAAATATAAATTCCTGTAGTTTTTATAACACGTGATTAGTTCTTAAACTGGGTTTTTATAATGGATCCCCATTTGGTGAGGGCAAATAAGTATGCTATGAAAAATGTGTGACGCCTTTTTATGAAACAATGGGGATAAAATCTTTAGGTAATGAATTTCAGGGAAAACGAATGATTATGATGGATCACAAGCTACTATCTTTCACTACTGTATTCAATGTATAAAATAAACAATGCCATCTATTTGATAAGGGATCTTCAACTGTTGAATGACGTTAGTTTAAATATTTCGGGAGAGGCTACATGAGGGCCCTTGATGTGTGTTAGTGTGATTTTGACTGGGAGACCACAACCAGGATGGGCTTAGTTAACTAACGTCGCAGCTGGTGTACCTCTCTCTTGGCCCGCGGCGTCGGTACGGGCGGATCGGAGACATTTAAGTGCGAGAACGTCGACGCCGCCGTCACAAAGGAGGCGCCCGAAGAGCAGGATGACGTGGCCGACGACGACGATGCGTTCGAGCTGCGCACTGATTCGTTTCCGGTGGGCTCGTCCCGCCAGCAGTTACGTTCCAGCTTACTGATCTCCGCGCTGACAGCGGCGGCGGTGGCCGCCACTATGGCGTTCGAGCTACCCTGCCTCCGGGGCGGGATCGGCGGCGATTGTATGTCCGGCGGACTGTCAAAGCTGCTGGAGTCGGCGGTGGGCAGGGGCTGGCGCGGTCTGGTGGGCGTGGAGGTGTGGCGCGGTGGCTTCGTCTCCACGTGCGGATGCGCGGCGTACGGATGATTGTAGTAGGAGGCGGGCGTGGACTGCGGAGGCGGCGGGCGGGCCGGCGGTGCTCCTCCTCGCCTGTGCTCTGCGTTCGGCTTAAGCTGTGTGGGCCGATGGACGATGCCAGGAATGGGGTGGTGGGTGCGAATGTGAGACGAGTGTGATCGATTAAATCGGTGTGTGGGGGTGGTGTGGTGTGTGGGGTGTTTGTGGGCATGAGACATGGGCCAGACGATCGATCGATGACGACATACAGTTGGACACAGACACGACACAGACAAGGAAACAAAAACAAGAAGAGCATGAGAACAACATAAATTCACAGCACATCGAGATGAGTGGTCGATTTAGCTTAGCGGCAAGCATGTGAACGGCTGCACTGGAGCGCACCAATTACTGGAGCTGCTGCAGCCGAAGCTCGTACGCCCGCACCAGACTACTTACACTGCGGTCCACGGCCGGCGTCTTGAAGAGCGGATGGTCCTGCAGCTCCTGCGACAGATTCATCTCCGAAGATGAGCAGAGCGAACTCGCCGAGCTAACAACAGGAGACGCAGCGAGGTGATGACCATAATGAGCACCAGCACCCGCACCGTACGCATGACCGTTCGGCTGAATGTGGCTGCTCGAGCTAGACATGGCCAGCGGGATGGGGCCGCGGCGCTGGAATTCCCGTGGCTCCCTGGCGCCGGATCCGCCGCTGCCGCTGCTTCCCGTGACGGAGGCAATCCCATCAAGTCGCTTGCTGGTCACTGGCGAGCTGGGCGCCGAGTGGTGGGCCGCTCCAATGGCCTTGCCACCCCGCACGTATCCTCCACTGGCACCGTCCGGACGATCCGAGTGGTTCGGCGATCCCAGGCCAAAGTGGAAGTGTGTGCCGCCGAACTGGTTGCCGTTCTCGCGCAGCTTTGTCTTGAAGCCCTTGTAGGCGGTTTTCATCCCCCGCGAACCCTCCTTCACCTGAATCGATGGGATAGAAAATTATATTAGTTTTTGCATCCTTCCACAACCTGTACAGATACACAAAAGCGCTCGGGGAACAACACAGATTGGGGCATTCAACGGGGACTCGACCACTCACCGATTTGACGGCAGACTTTACAGCCGGATTAGTCTGCAATGGTTAGACATACGCATGTTTTGATCAGAAAACGATTGGGCACAACCGCAGCGAGAGCAGAAAGCACAGAGGAGTGTAGGATGAGCGATCCAAGCGGCATATGGAAGAGAAACACACAAGATACAGGCGAGATACGGTGTGAATGAGATGCGCAGAACGACCAGCGTGTTATTTAAGCTACGGCTAACTACACTTAATGGCTACGATGACAATGCTGATTCGGGTAATGGGTACTGGGTGCTGGGGATCACTGGGGCAATGGGGCTTGACATGTCGAGGCGGTGATTATAATCTGCGATCAAGGAGTGCGTTCCAAACGATATCACAGCTAAAGGCCATGAATTTAGAGTAGAGAATGTTAGTACGTAAATGGATTAGTCCAGAAGCTACTGATCTACTAGATGTTAAGTAACTTTGCATTTCGACTTTGGATTTATGTACACCTGCACTGCTAGTGTAGAAACAAAATGTTTGTGTATAAAAGCATTTCACCGATCTAGGCAATTGATTAAGCTAATATGTTAGTATAGAAGCTTGTTTTATATTTAAATACATGGCTCCATTACCAATTAATCAATGTTACTTATTATTTCAGCCTGATAAGTTCAATTTTAATTAAACTATTTTGAAAGTAATTTTTAGATTTTGTTTGTTGAACGACAAAAAAATAAAAAGAATAATAAACAATTAACTAACTAAAACATAAAACTCATAAATGAACAGATATTAATTTGGAATGGATCAAGAAACATTAAGACGTTCTTTTTTAGTTTATGGCAACATAAATTATTTGGTGCAGTTGCTTGTTAGGACGTTAAATAATTCGTTTGCGTAGAAATAAGAAATCATTTGAACTAACATTGCAAATAAGGTGTGTGGGAATTTACATTCTACTCGTTTATATTGGTATTTGGTTTTGGTGGTTTTGGCATGGTTGGCAGTCTACATATTGTTCTTGGCAACCAATTGGGACAAACTGCGCAAATACTGTGGAATAGATTAAATCAAATCAGATAAAAGAAGATCATAAGGGTGGCAGGTGGTAAAAGTAACTTAAGAGTACATTGGGTTAGCGGGTGTCAGCGCAGAAAGAGGCGGTAACGAAATGCAAGCCCAGTTCCCAGGTCCCCTCCAAGCCATTCAACTGAGAGGGATGATGGTGGTGGTGTGGGGCGGATGTGACACCATGAGGGTTAGGTAAACAGCATTGGGCCACAGCTGGTGACGCAGTCTAAGCTTCCTCGGCTCACCTTGTCCTTCAGGTTCTTCATGATGGTGTAGTTGCGGCCTCGTTTCTTCTTCTCCGCATAGCGCACCGTCTCCAGCTCGAACTCGTCGGAAAAACCGAGTCCGCTGTTGAGCATCTTTAGGCGATCGTCGATAAACTGCGCAAAGATCTGCAGATCCATCATTTTGGCAAGAAAGGGGCGCAGATGTGCCGGCCGAGATTCTATGAATTTTTGGGAATTGAAGGTCTTGCTGGTCTCGTGGTACTCTACTGCATCCCGATAGCCACCGATCAGCTGCACCAGTGCGTTAAGGAAGATCTTAGAGATCCGGTCGCCGATGTGGTCATGCGTATGATTTAGATACTTCTTAAGCTGCGAGACAATCTCCGTCGGCAGATTGTGCACATCGTCGAATGGGCTTTCGAATATTTTCGTATCACAGTTCAGGATCACAACTTCACCAAGCTCATCGCTGGTTACCTGGTCGAGAAAGGATATCGTTAGTATCTACAGCCTCGACCGAATGTTTAGTTAGTTCAGCTTACAGTTTCGAGCACTGGTTCTGGCACACCAATCAGATATGGCATCGGCGCACCCAGGTAGTCTTTGAACTCCCACGGCAGCACCGGTATGAATATGTGCTGC